CTTCTTTGTACAACCAAACTTTTTTTTCCTTGCTTGCTCTCTCTCCTTATTGCTACCTCTTAGTTCTCAACTCAGTGCAGTCTAATTTTCAACCCACCACTGCTTTGAAACCTTTCCTGCTAAGGGCACCGATGTTTTCAAATCCAGAGGTTACATCTCCTACATATCTAACCTAACCTCTGGGCAACAGTCAATACAGTTACAGCTCCCTTCTCTGACTCTTTGATACCAACCTCTCTTGTTCTCCTCCAACTTTATGGCTTTTCTTTATTAGATTCCTATTTGCTGGCACTTCCTCCTCTGCTTACTTGGTCTCCTCTAAATGTGCGAGTTCTTTGGCCCTCTGCACTTCTCTATCTCCATTCTCCCAGGTGATCTCATCCAGCTGCATAATTAAAATACCATCTACGGCCCAATTAATCCACAGTCTACACCTCTAGTTTTGACCCCTTCTCTGCATTACAACCTAATGTATTCAACTTCCTACATAAACGTATTAGATCCAAATGAAACTCTCAGTCCCCCCAAATATTATATGCCTTGTCTTCCCTCAGTACAATAGCCCCATTCACTCACTCACACAGCCCCAGACCTAGTTGCTGTCCTCGATTCTACCTCCTTTTGTCACTGCCTGGATCCAATCTCCCTAACTGCACTGCCTCACCTTAATCCAAGCTGCCAGCACCTTTCAACTACACTGCTGCGTTAGCTCCTGCCTGTCACTTCGCTTGTATCCTTGCATCCATATAATCAGCTCTCTACAAAGCAACAGGATGATTGTTTTAAAATCATATACTGCTCCCTTGCTTTGCACTGGCTTCCAAGCTCCTCCTCAAGGTCTTCAAGACCCTATGGGACTTTGTCCTGTCTAGAACCTCTCTCTCCCCTTGCTTCAGCCATATTAATCTTTCTGTTAATTCTCTTTAAAACTCCAAGCTCAGTGCACCTGGGCGGCATAGTCGGTTAAGTGTCCAACTTTTGGTTTCCGTCATGATCTCAGGGCCATGAGATCAAGCCCCGTGTCGGACTCTGCACTCAGCATGGAGTCTGCTTGAGATTCTCTCTCCCTCTCCCTGCCCCTCTCGCTTGTGCATGCTCTCTCTCTCTCTCAAATAAATAAATAAATCTTAAAAAAAAAAGAAAAGAAAAGAAAAACACAACCCTCCAAGCTCATTTCCCCTGCAGGGTTTTCAACTGTGGCTTCCTCTGTCTAGAACAACCTCCCCCTGTCTCTTCATGTGATCAAATATTTCTCATCATTTGGATCTTGGTTCACTTGTCACTTCCTCCAAGAGGCCTTCTGGCTACCCTAGGTAAGATCGATCCCTCACGCCCTAGATGCACTGTCATATCACCCTGTTTTGTCTTCTGTGTAACAGATATCATGATCTGAAATCTTGTTCATTTTTTAATGGCCTATCTATCCCCCATGCCCACTAGATTGTAAGTTCCATGATGGCCGTAACCAGTGTTCAGGTCAATACCTAGCAGATAATAGGGACATAAAAAGTACTGAGTTTTAAATTCTAGAATGATGATACAAATCATGTATTAGATTCAAAACCATAGAATATTGGCAATGGATGAGCCCTTTAGAATGTCTTTTATTTTATTTATGGTAGTGGTCCCGGTTGAGCCCTATCTGAAATTCAAGTAGTCTAAAGGACTATCATAAATTACTGGGTGGGAAGCTTCTTGGTGTCTGTTTTATTGATTTGCATTAGTGGAAGTTACCTGTAAAAAGGAAGTCTGTGAGAAAATCCAAAGATTTTGGGAGCAGCTATGGAGCGGGAGTAATGAGGTGAAAGAGGGAAGAAGGTTTCTCAGCCAAATCTGAAACGCTCGGGACCAAGGGAACTACTCCCGTGGAAGGGAGTTACGAGTTTGGTTTTTGTTTTGCTTTGTTTTGTTTTTTGATTTTAGAAATTTGGTAAAGCAGAAAAACATAAGCAATGCTGATTCAGTCCCCAGGTGGCAAAGTGGGCCACTGCACTGGGAAAAAGGCACCTCTGCATCTCTGTTCCCCTGTGGCTCCCAGTGCAGTGTGGAGAACACTGATCTCTGGGACATCTGAAGAATATGCTGCTTTGGGAGACACTAGAAACAGTCCTCTGGGCAGAAAGTCAGAGTCCTCCCTTCTCGGCTCTGCTTCCTTAGGATTAGCTCTTGTCTTAGGCTACCATGTTTACAAATGACTATGGCAGAACCAGGCACTACTACCTCCTTTCTCATTCATGTCCAGGGGGAAGACTGTGAAAGTTTATTGCTAGGAATTCTAGGGAAAAAAATATCTCACTCTATCTCCTCAGCTTTGACCCCAGTCAAAGGGGATGGGCATCCCCCAAACTAAGATTGGCAACAGTGAGAGGACTGTGGCAAGTGATTTCTTTTCATTCATTCATTGGCACTTATTGAGCACCTACCATGTTCCTGGCGCTCGTCTAGGTGCTAAAGATGCCATGGTGAACAAAGTGTACAAAATCCCTTCACCTGTAACAAGATGCCCAAGATTTCCAAGCCACTGACTTTATGGTTCTATCTTGGGTAACCTACTCATTTTCTGGAAGTGGGGGAATGTTCCCAGGGTGACTCTTTTCCACACCACAGTAGAGAGGAAGGGACTGTTCAGCGACCAGTTCTCCTCATTTTTAAGTCTGGCATGATGTGACTCCCCTGTTACAAAAAGCTACAATCACCCAGAGCAAGTGCGACCTTTCCCCTGAACTCAGAGGTTGTCAGCTGCTGCAACTCTTTGTTTTCCCCCACTCTCCAAGCTGTACCCGGAGAAAGGAGATCGAGAGGCGAGAGGGCAGATGCATGGATGGTGGAATTATGGCTTCCTCTGGACACGAGAGAAACTTTGCCTGTGCCCTCCTGAGAGAGGAGCATTCACTGCATTTTAACAGAATGATATTCTCTGCAGATATTTCATTTTCAGGCTAGTGGACAAGTGAGGCATCAGAATGAAGAATGCTGATGGAGGTTTGGGTAAAGGCAAAAGAGCTGATAAACATTTCCCTTTTGACAGTGTGAAAACACCCACATCAAGGATAAGTAGCTTGCTTGAGAAAAGTCAAAGTCAAAATGAAGTATGAATTATTGATTGTCAGTAAGTCAGGAACTAACATTCTACTTTTACCCCCACTCCATCTTCTCTAATTTTGGCAATAATTCAACAGCCTCTTTCACATCCAGAAGCCAACCCTTCAAATACCACTTCGCTATTTTCCTTTTATCCTCCTTTTTCATTCTCCTTCTTATTTTCTCTCCTTCCCTTTCATCCTCTCTCCCCCTCCCATTCGCATTTCTCTCATTCTCTTGCTCCCCTCTTTTCCCCTCTTTTTGCTTTAGGATGTAACCTAGCAACAGCGATTTCAATTTAAAAAGGTTGGGAAGGGCCACCAGTGTTGCCAAGGTTACCAGTATTTCCTGCTGTCATTGGAGGAAGTAACTCCTGTGCGGATCACAATGGAATCAGATGCCCCAACAGGACACCTTCCTTGCTATGCTGCCTGTTTCCTCAACATCCAGATAATGAGAGGGCCTTCCTCAGCAAAAAGTTTTGCCAAACTGTCTCACAGTATCTTGGATGTTATCAGTTAGTGAGAAACTATTCTATAACCCAGATGTTTATAGAAAAGTTTAGGGAAATGTAAAATAGTGATTATGGCAATAATAAGATTTCAAAATCATTTTAGAGGGCAGCAGTTCTATGCATTTGAGGTATACCATCAGATTTCCAATAGCAAGATAACAGTATTGTTGGTCAACAGAGTCCCTACGGTGATAATGACTCAATATCAGATAATTTGCCTTTTAAAAATATAATAGTCACAGTAATTTGTACCTATATACCATCAATGAGGTGCTATATCCACGTTAAAAGATAAAAATATCCAAAATTAACCATCATTATAAAAAAGTAAAAACTCATTTGGCAGGATCTTTTCTATTAGTCATAAAAAGATAGCCATTAGTGTCCAGGAACTAATTTAAAGACTGTTTACATTAGGCCTAGAGCATAAACATGAGGCCCAGAAGACCTAAGACCAGCCTCCATGTGTGGCCCCAGGTCTGAACTCACATTCCCTAGATCACTCAGGCTAAAACATCTATGACTTTTCTATGTCATAGCACCCTACACTGGCATACCCTCTTACAAAACCCTCAATACTTCCTATTTCATCCCCACAATGGCTATGTAAGGTTGCACTTTCCCCATTTCACAGTTGATCAAACTAAAAGCCAGGGACTTTGAGTGACTTAAGTGGCAGAAGACCTGGTACCAGGCCTTCTGACTCCTAACTCATGGTATAGCACCTTCCTCCCACCAGATTCTGATGAAATAGTACCTACGCATGGCTTCTTCCCCTGCTTCCTTACTAGTTCCTCCTAGAAGCATTTCCTGCATAAATCACTTGCACATGAATCCTCCTCTGGGGTCAACTTCTCGGAAACCCAACTCCTACAACTCCTATCATAATGCTTTTTCTCCATGGCTCCATCTGTCACTATTCCCTTCCCTTGACCCTTCATGCCAGGGGTTGGTAATGGTTCCCACTGTTGGTAGCTCTGGCATGCTTTCCCAGTCTTGGCGGTTCCCTTAACTCTGTTCACACTCACTCTTTTAGTTCTTTAGTTGAAGTTTCATGAGGTACCTTAGTTGGTTTCTGTTCAATGCAGATACCATAACTGTTAGAGCCTCTTCACTGAGCTCCCCAACTTCTCTTTCACCCTTCCTCTCCTTCAATCTCTTCTCCATAGACTGGCTGGAGTGATATTTTAAAATCTTAATTAGGTCATATCATTCCCCACGTAAAACCACCAATGGATCCCCACCATGCACAGACAATGGCCAAGTTCCCTGCCACCATGGAGCTCTTTCATGCTTCAGCTGGTATCTTCAGCCACAACTCTGACCACTTCCTTCCTAATATACTTACATCGCAGCAATACCAAACTCCATGTCATTCCCAACACAGACCAGGGGTGCATCTTACCTCTGTGTTTTGGTTCAGCTCATGCTGTTCTTGAAGTGTAGTGTGCTCTCTTCTCCTCCAAATGTCACTAACTGATTCCTCCAGTCCAAGCAAGTGTCATCTCTCCAGGAAGACCGTGGTTGCTGGAAGATACAGATTCTTCATTTATTAATTTTTATACCATCCATTTCAGCCTGACACAGAATAGAAAGCATGTTGAATGAATGGCCTTTCAAGGAGTGAAAATGGCTACTACTGACTAAAACACCTTTATAAACCCTCAATGATTATTGGAGGTATCTCTGAAAAGTGAACCAATAATGTTAATAATTGCCATTTACTTGTGCCAACTCTGTACCAGACACTTAAAACATACTGTTATTATTTAATCTTCACAACAAATATAAGGTCTCATTATCCTTTTTTTAAAGCTGAGAAAAATAAAGCTCACAAAGATAAGAAATGTCCCTTAGGTCACACAGTTAATAAGGGATGGACTTGGGATTTGAGTACTGGCATGTCTATCTTCATTCCTGGGACTGTGCTCTCCCCTTTAAAGAGAAGCATCTACATCATAATGTAAAGTTGAGCTGCACCTATGACCTCACAGGGGGCAAAGCCCTCACTCCACTTCCGTTCCCAGCCTTCCAGTCACCATGAAGAAGAGAGACATTCGTTGGTTTCATATACCCATGTTTATCTTAAAGTCACAAAACTTCAGCGTCATTACCAATGCTCTGCCTGTGCATCTATTTCTAGCTATTTTAGAAGGTGTTTTGTTTGGTGGCATTTCATCTAAAGAGATGGCAGAACTAGAGACAGTCAGATATTTACACGGGACAAATAAATCCTTCCTATATGCCATACACAATAAAATACTCATGGAACATTGCTTCCCTGCAAGAGCTACTACTACAGCCCGCATCCCGTGAATGTCTTTCACCGGTTCTCTGTAGGACTCAGCAAGGTCCTGATCACATGCTGATCACACACACAGAGCCAGATTCAGACAATTAAAGTCATGATTTGTTTTCGCTACCATCAGAACTTGGTAACTAAATGGTAGCAGTAGTTAATGTAGCATTTTATAAGCAACGGTGAATTACCCATGATTAGTGACTAATAATAAATTAGTATGGTTATACTGGACACAGACAAAAATGTCTACAGATGGGGAGATCATGTCACAAGCTTGAAAAAGAGAAAGTCGGAATCAGGTTACACAAAAATCGCACAACAGGCAACTCAAAAAAAACAGATCTGCCTCCTTCTGACTTCTGCCTACCTCAGAGCCTCTTTCTCCACTTCACGATGTGGCCACCGCCACAGTGAGACAGCTCTTCTCTGCCCTCTGTCACCCCAGTGAAGGGACCAACTTGTCCTGGCTCTGCCTAGGACTTTATTGGTTTTCTTACTGAAAATTCTGTATTTACTACTGAAAATTTGACTTCTAGTTATGGTAACTGTGGTAGGCAGAGTAATGGCTTCCCAAAGATGTCTGAATCTTATTCCCTGGAACCTGTGAATATATTAGCTGACATGAAAGGGACTTGGCAAATGGAAGGATCTTGAGGTGGGCCTTATCTAATCACACTGGTCCTTAAAATCAGAGAACTTTTTCTGGCTATAGCCAGAGAGCCATGCGGCTGACAAAGAATGGTCCCGGAAACGCAACATTGCCGGCTTTGAAGACAGAGGAAGGGGGCCCCTAGAAACTGGAAAAAGCAATGAAATGGATTCTCATCACACCTCCAGAAAGAAACACAGTCCTGCTACACTTTGATTTCAGCCCAGTGAGACCCACACTGGAATTCTGACCTATGGAACCGCAAAGATAATAAATGTGTTGTTTTAAGCTATAAGTTTGTGGTAATTTGTTATGGTAGCAATAAAAAAAAAAAAAAAAAACTAAGAGAAGAACCAACTCATCTCAGTTTGCCCAGGACTGGCCAAGTTTTAAAACTAAAAATCCCATATCCTGGGAACCCCTTCAGTCCTGGACAAACCAGGACAGTTCATCACTCTACCCCTGTTTTTCATTCCCATAGTTTCTGATTCAACAGATCAAGAATGAAGCCTCAGAGTTTGTATTTCTAACATGTCCTCAGCACATAATGATGTGCTTCTGAGGACCTTACTTTTCAACCACTGTCCTAAGAGACAAAGACCTCTGGGACAACCATGAATCGAGTTTCATCTGTTCACCCACATGCCAGGCATAGATAAAAATGAAATGGGTTTGTGGGCAGGTATCAACTACTAGAGCTGACCAAATACACAACTCTGAGATCTTCTAGATGTGCTAGAGCACATTTGGAACACTTCCATTTCTGCCTTATATAAACCTTTGGGCTCTGGGCAAGTTACCTACTACTTTTACTCTCAGAATTGGAGCTAAAATATGTAAACCAGGTGGCTTGATGTCTACCATATGACATTGCTCAATAAATGAATAGCCACGTAAGAAACCAGTCATTTCCAAAGTATCATTCATGCAGCTCAGACACCTAATAAGAATGTGGAAGGGGAAGGTGGATCTTTGCCATTCACCCTTGGTGTGAAGACCTGAAGTCTTGGTTATACTATTCAAATTCAGCAAATTCCCACCACAGTTTGAAAAAAAACATAGGTTTCCTGGATTCTCCTATTTTTCATTTATTCAGAGACATTTTGAAGCCCCTCTTATGTACAAGGCATCAAGTCAAATGCTGTAGTCTCTTCTAAGTCTAGGATTCATCAATTATTCAACTAATATGTATTAAGGACCCACACAGTATGCCAGACAATATTGTCAGTGCTGGCATTACGATGGGCAAGATGACAGAAAAGATCTCTGCTCCCAGACAAGTCGTATCTTAGGGAAGCTAAACAGTAAAGAAAACAGAGGAGAGGAGAAAAGAGGGGAATGAGAACGTCAGTGGTGTTATTTACTATGACAAGATAAAACTCGCCAGGGATTGCCTTATAATAAAAAGGTAGTTTGAGATGTCCTCTATCAGGAGGTAGCATTTGAGCTGAGATCTGAACAACCGGGGGAAACCATTGCAAACGGAGGAACAGCTAGTATAATCTAAGAGGGAACGGAGTTTGGTACATACAAAAAAGTGGCCAAAGGAAGAACAATGTGAATGGATCATAGTATGCAATGGGGAGAGACAGGAGATGGAAGGATTCTCTGAGTCTCTGATGTTGTAGATCCTGGGTTGGCATGGATCATCTTTGGCAGCAGGAAGCTTTATCAGGCAGAAAAAAAACCCCTGATTTTAAGGTGTGTTTTCCATCCATGGTTAGTTTCTTACGCCTGTTATTCGGATAGCTAATCTGGTTCTGTTTGTAGGAGGCATATGTTATTGTCAGTCAAACATCTCTTTTTCCTCTTTTTCTAGAAGAGGAAGCAGTTCTCCTCCCACTCCCACCCTCTGGTTGGTTGGGGTAAGATTCCAATACAGGGAGGTAAATAGTGCAGGCAAAACCAGTCATACATTTTCCTGGGATTTTCCTAACTCAGGTTAACGGGAACAGCTCTTTTTCCTCACAAGTCATGGAGCTATAAAGATAAAATCCTGAGGCAGGTTCGAGACATGGTTGCAGCCTCATGGGGAAAGCTGGTGTTAATGAGTGAAAAGAGAGAAGCAGAGCTGAAGTATGGGGAGACAGAGACAGAAAGCTGAGGCCTTTACTTCTCTAGATGAAGGCCACAGGACCCTTCCCCCACTAGTGCCATAGCTTGATTCCCTGAGCCAAAAGGTTCCTCTGTGGTTTAAGATAGCGTGAGTAGGGTTTCCATCATTTCAGCCGAGTTCTTACTGTTAAACTATTCGTGACTTCATCTTAAACCTGAGTGTTCCCCAATTCCTGTCTTCCTGGCCTTGCCCCAGCCTTCCCAGGCGTCCAACCTCTGTGTATGCAGCTCTCCTTGATTCTCCCAATGCTGAGAAGGGGTGGAACACAGTTGTTAGAACCTGAGCTTTAAAGAAACAGATTTGTGACTGAACTCCTGCTCATTTTAGACTAACTACCTGGCCTAAGTCAAGTTACTGAACCGACCTGAATCCCAGTTCCCACCTGTAAGAAAATGGAGATAATACGAGTGCTTGCCCACGAGTAAGTGCAACCCTTTTGAACTGGGAGATGTGGTGGTTAAGTGAAATAATGAAAGTAAAGCACACAGCACCATACATGGTTGCCTTCATTATAACTCAGCATTCAGATGCTACTAGTGCCCCTTAACTTCCCTTTGGGGTTTGCTTTCTGCTGCTGGCCAAATGGAATACAATTTCTTCATTCTTTTCATTTTCTCCCCCCTACTGCCCTACCAACAGTGCTATCAGTCCATAATTTACAAAAGGAAAATTGGACTGTATGCCCATGCAGATCTAAGTAAAACTGAGGTGTGTGACCCTTGGTGCTGGTGCTGCGTACTTGAGATCACTGATGCTATTTGAGACGCTGTGTCATTGCTCTGCTCTGACATGAGAAAGAGTGAGACTGGCTGCACACAGTTTCACAAAGTGATAGGTGTTTGGAATTGAACTATGAGGCTGTTCTACTACTGGGAGTGTTGACAAGATAATATATGCAAAGCATTTGGTCTGCTTGGAAGGCAGGTATGAGCAAAATACAAAGTGGGATTAATTATTGATTATCTGTGGGAAGGAGGAATAGAGAAGCAGAAACCCATACTTCTCTTTTGGCATATTTTACTTTCTGCCTTGTGTTGCAATTATTTCCCTATCAGACTGTAAACTCTGAGATGAGGGGCTTTGCCTTATGAATTATTGCATCCCCTATAATCCCTGGAAAATAGGAGGTTTCTGACAAATGTTGGTTAAATGAATGTTGAAAGAATAATTAGAATACATGGTTAATAACAAAACAACAATTACTTTGTGTGAAATAAAGAATAAGCAAGTAAGAAGGCAGTGTGATATTGTGAGAGAAGAAAAAGCTTTATGTTCAAATCCAAGTTCTTCCATTCGTTGGTTTTATAAACTTAGGTCAATACTTGATATATTTTATCTTTCTTTTCATCTAAATAATAGGAAGTTCAGTGCCCACTTGGCATGTTTGTGATCAGGATTAAGTATAACAATGCCCAGAACTGCTATAAATGATAATATAATTATCTGTAGAATCTTAATGCTCCAAGTTACATTCTAGGTAACTCTGTTTGTATCCCTCCGGTCAACCAGATTAACTCTCTGAATGGCCTTGGTCAGATGCTTCCTTAAAATGGCCTGTTTCCCTCAATTACAAGTGGAGAACATTGCATCTTAAACTATTTTTCTTTCTCTTATTTTAAATGTAATTAAATCAACATTCTAGGCCAAGTTAAAAAAAAAAAAAGACTTCACACTTACTGTACTACAACTGGGCATATCTCCTGCTTTGGTCAGGCATTCCAGATGGCTGCTGCATTCCCTTAGCTGTTCCTTTGCTTGTGAGGTTTTTCTGGGATTGAGTTTGTTCTTAAGAGGCATCAAAGCCCCTTGATAAAACATGGCAGGTGTTCTTTAAAATGCTCTTTAAATTTATCA